TTTTTTTTTTTTTTTTTTTTTTTTTACGGCTACGGGTTGACATGTTAAACGTGTTATATATCCTAGAAGCGCTCAGGCATAATAATATGCCAGGACTTCTACCTGGGTAAACCAGAAAGGATATAGAACAACTACCTAATATTTTTATTTTTATTTTTATTTTTTTTTTACGGCTACGGGTTGACATGCTAAACGTGTTATATATCCTAGAAGCGCTCAGGCATAATAACATCATGCCAGGACTTCTACCTGGATGAACCAGAAAGGATATAGAACAACTGCCTATTTTTTCCTACGCGTCAAAATTCTAAGCGTGTTATTCTTAGAAGCGCTCAGGCTTAATAATATGCCACGTTTCCTACGACTGATTTTAGCTGATTTTGCCGTGCGAAGAATGGATAATTTACCCGACTTGTAAACAGATATTTCCTTCAGCCGATTGTGTCTCATGCAGGAGAATGTCATATCTGCGTTGTTTTGTTTCTACTGAAGTTTAATCAAAGAAAACTTAAGCGAAAATAGGGAGATGGCAAATTATACTCCTACGAACTATAAATTAGGGCTGACCTGTAAGACACGTTGAATTGTGCCGCCATACTTCATGTGCAATATAATCTGGCTGCGTTTGGGGAGACAATTTCCTCTTCCATCCAGATTTACTTGGTATGTTTGATTGCTCTAATCTTCAGACAAAGAATTGGGTATACAAATTCGAATGGCTTGGCGATACTAAGTACTTAAGTCTACTTACCGATTACAACATGTTTTGGACTATTGAGAAGCGCGGCAAACGAGGTTGTCACAGCGTTCTCGAGCGAACACGGCGCGACCTGGTTTGATAAAATTACCATTACATGAGCTATCATGCCAGTAATTTCTCCTTTCGTCGCATAGTGAAGAGTTTGTGAGCACATCGTCGACTCTTGAAACATTTGTCTCGCGCCGCTATAGAAGTTCCATTTCCCTCGAACCATAGGTAGATTTCCCGCTTAAGATAATGTTTGATAATTTATGCAAAAGTTGACCTCGTGAAAGTCAGGAGTGCATTAATCGACTCAAAAATAAACAGACTTCCTACAGGGTTTTGAGCACGGTTTTAATTAAAGTACTTTACGAGCGCTGCGGTGGTTGACCGCAAAAGTGTTACGGTGATGGATACTCAACTGGATGATTACGTCACTTCATAGCAACCAGACGGTACGAATTTTTTCACTTCCGGAACGCTGAGGCTCGTAGTGATGGTAATACATAGTAATACATGGTAATACCTGGCAATACATGGCAATACATAGCTATACATGGTAATACATGGCAATACATGGTAATACATAGTATTACATGGTAATACATGGCTATACATGGCAGCACATGGTAATACATGACGATACATACCAATACGTCGCAATACATGGTAATACATGGCATTACATGGGAATACATGGCTATACATAGCTATACATGGTAATACATGGCAATACATGGCATTACATGGGTATACATGGCTATACATGGTAATACATGGCAATACATGGCAAAACATAGCTATACAAAGCTATAGATGGGAATACATGGTAATACATAGTAATACATGGTAATACCTGGCAATACATGGCAATACATAGCTATACATGGTGTTATCAATTAAATCCGCGTTGCCGATAGCAACGCGTCCCTTGGATTCCCTAAGGGTATTTTGTATTCTAGCGCTATATTTGAAAATTCAGTTTTGAGCTAGCAGTGCACGTGAACAGAAGAATTCAGATTTAGAAACGAAGACTCGGAGATTCACGCTAGTGTAAGTAGTTTTCGCTAAGAGTTTTTTTCATCCTTTGAGCGAATATCTTATCAGGATATTTGGGTTTTTCCTTTTTTCAGCGAATCATTCTGTAAATCACGCTTATCCTCGAAATGTAGAAGTGAAAGAGGCGAGCTGATTTCGACGCGTGAATGCTAATTAACTTGAACTGTAGAATACTGAGACACTGAGAATTAAATAATGAATCTTGAAGAACAGCGAAAAGACGACAACACATGGTAATACATGGCAATACATGGTAATACATAGTATTACATGGTAATACATGGCTATACATGGCCGTACATGGTAATACATGACGATACATACCAATACGTCGCAATACATGGTAATACATGGCATTACATGGGAATACATGGCTATACATAGCTATACATGGTAATACATGGCAATACATGGCATTACATGGGTATACATGGCTATACATGGTAATACATGGCAATACATGGCAAAACATAGCTATACAAAGCTATAGATGGGAATACATGGTAATACATAGTAATACATGGTAATACCTGGCAATACATGGCAATACATAGCTATACATGGTGTTATCAATTAAATCCGCGTTGCCGATAGCAACGCGTCCCTTGGATTCCCTAAGGGTATTTTGTATTCTAGCGCTATATTTGAAAATTCAGTTTTGAGCTAGCAGTGCACGTGAACAGAAGAATTCAGATTTAGAAACGAAGACTCGGAGATTCACGCTAGTGTAAGTAGTTTTCGCTAAGAGTTTTTTTCATCCTTTGAGCGAATATCTTATCAGGATATTTGGGTTTTTCCTTTTTTCAGCGAATCATTCTGTAAATCACGCTTATCCTCGAAATGTAGAAGTGAAAGAGGCGAGCTGATTTCGACGCGTGAATGCTAATTAACTTGAACTGTAGAATACTGAGACACTGAGAATTAAATAATGAATCTTGAAGAACAGCGAAAAGACGACAACACATGGTAATACATGGCAATACATGGTAATACATAGTATTACATGGTAATACATGGCTATACATGGCCGTACATGGTAATACATGGCTATACATAGCAATACATGGTAATACATGGCAATACATGGTAATACATGGCGATACATGGCAGCACATGCTAATACAAGGCGATACATGGCAATATATGGTAATCCATGGGGATATATGGCAATACATGGGGATACATAGCAGCACATGGTAATACACGGCGATACATGGCAATACATGGTAATACATGGCTATACATGGCAATACACGGCAATACATGGTAATACATGGCTATACATAGCAATACATGGTAATACATGGCAATGCATGTTAATACATGGCTATACATGGCAATACATGACTATACATGGTAATACATGGCAATACCTGGTAATACATGGCTGTACATGGCAATACATGGTAATACATAGCTATTCATGCCTATACATGGGATTACTTGGCTATACATGGCTATACATGGCTATAAATGGGTATACATGGCACTACATGGCATTACATGGGTATACATGGCTATACATGGTAATACATGGCAATACATGGCATTACATGGGTGTACTTGGCTATACATGGCTATACATGGCTCTACATTGTAATACATGGTGATACATGGTAATACATAGTAATACATGGTAATACATGGCAATACATTGCTATACATGGCTATAAATGGCTATACATGGTAATACATGGTAATACATGGCAATACATGGTAATATATGGCTATACATGACATTAAATGGGTATACATGTCGATACATTATTTTAAATGCGTTCTTGATACACTTTAATAACCCTACTTAAAGTACCTACCGTGTTTTTCTACGTTTTCCTCTGTTTCCAATATTTTTCTATGTTTTTCCTTGATTCTCCCTGTTTTTCCGTGTTTTTCTATGGTTTTCTCTGATTCTCCCTATTTTCCCGTGTTTTTCTACATTTTCTCCTCTTTTCCCATGTTTTTCTATGTTTTTCCTTGATTCTCCCTGTTTCTCCGTGTTTTTCTATGTTTTCCTCTGATTCTCCCTGTGTTCCTGTGTTTTTCTACGTTTTCCCTTGTTTTGCCGTGTTTTTCTACGTCTTCCCCTGTTTATCCATGTTTTTTCCTTGATTCTCCCTGTTTTCCCGTGTTTTTCTACGTCTTCCCCTGTTTATCCATGTTTTTTCCTTGATTCTCCCTGTTTTCCCATATTTTTCTATGTTTTCCTTGATTCTTCCTGTTTTTCCATATTTTTCTGTTTTGCTCTGAGTCGCCCTGTTTTCCAGTGTTTTTCTGTTTTCACCGGATTCGCCCTTTTTTCTCGTGTTTTTCTGTTTTCCTCTGATTCTCCCTGTATTCTCATGTTTTTAGTATGTTTTCCCTGACTCTCGCTTTTTTCCCATGGTTTTCTACGTTCTCCTCTGATTCTCCCTGTTTTGTCGTGTTTTTCTAGGTTTTCCCCTGATTCTTCCTGTTTTCCCATGTTTTTCTATGTTTTCCTCTGATTCTTCCTGCTTTCCTGTGTNTTCTCCTCTGATTCTCCCTGTTTTGTCGTGTTTTTCTAGGTTTTCCCCTGATTCTTCCTGTTTTCCCATGTTTTTCTATGTTTTCCTCTGATTCTTCCTGCTTTCCTGTGTTTTCTATGTTTTCCACTGTTTTCCCGTGTTTTACTACATTTTCTCCTGTTTTCCCATGTTTTTCTATGTTTTTCCTTGATTCTCCCTGTTTTTCCGTGTTTTTCTATGTTTTCCTCTGATTCTCCCTGCGTTCCTGTGTTTTTCTACGGTTTTCCCTGTTGTTCCGTGTTTTTCTATGTTTTCCTCTGATTCTTCCTAGTCTCCTGTGTCTTTTTTATGTTTTCCCCTGTTTTCCGGCGTTTTACTATGTTTTCCCCCATTTTTCCATGTTATTCCATTTTTTTCCTTGATTCTCCCTGTTTTTCCGTGTTTTTCTATGTTTTCTTGTCATTCTCTCTGTTTCCCCGCGTTTTTCTAGGTTTTCCCCTGATTTTCCCTGTTTTGTCGTGTTTTTCTACGTTTTCCCCTGTTTTCCTGTTTTTCCATGTTTTTCCTTGATTCCTCCTGTTTCCTTGTGTTTTTCTATGTTTTTCCCTAATTCTCCCTGTTTTCCTATGGGGATGTTTCACCTTGATTCTCTCTTTTTTCATGTTTTTCTATGTTTAACCCTGATTCGCCCTGTTTTCTCGTATTTTTCTATGTTTTCCCCTGATTCTGCCTGTTTTCACATATTTTTCTGTTTTTTCCCCTGATTCGCCCTGTTTTCTCGTGTTTTCCTACGTTTTCCCCTGATTCTCCCTGTTTCCCTATGTTGTTCTATGTTTTCCTCTGATTCTCCCTGTTTTTCCATGGTTTTCTATGTTTTCCTCTGATTCGCCCTGTTTTCTCGTGTTTTTCTATGTTTTTCACTGATTCTGCCTGTTTTCACATATTTTTCTGTGTTTTCCCCTGATTCGCCCTGTTTTCTCGTGTTTTTCTCTGTTTTCCCCTGATTCTCCCTCTTTTCCTATGTTGTTCTATGTTTTCCCCTGATTCTCCCTGTTTTTCCATGTTTTTCTATGTTTTCCTCTGATTCTCCCTGTTTTCACATGTTTTTCTATGTTTTTCCACTGATTCTCCCTGTTTTCACATGTTTTTCCGTGTTTTTCACTGATTCGCCCTGTTTTTCGTTTTTTTTTCTATGCTTTCCTCTGATTCTCCCTGTTTTCCGGTGTTTTTTTAATCTTTTCCCCTGATTCTCCTTTTTTGCCCTTGTTTTCTACCCTTTTACCTGTTTCCCGTTTTTCCATGATTCCTTTCCCTTTTTTCTTTTTGGTTTTTTTATTGTTTTTTACCTTTTTCGTCTTGTTTTTATCCCGACACGTGTGTTAAAAGACGAATTGAAATTGGGGAGACCGCCTTATCCCCTGGCTGGTGTGATTATCACCTATTGACCAAACGTTCCGATTTCATTGGCGTCAATTAAATGATGTAATGAACATGAACGTGCGATTACATTACAATTGGGAATTTAATTTACATGTGATTTATTTAAATTAAAAACAATTCCTTACGCGATAGTACAGTAGAAAAAGCCGCGCATACTTAGAAGAGTAATTTGTGTCTGATCGTTGAACGAGTGACAACTGTACACTGTTATAACTTGCATGTATTGAAAGATACAGTTCTCTTGAGCCTTTTTTGAACCTGCGAGGGGGCTATGATAATCCCCGACACTTATTCACGCTCTGTCAACAGCAATGAAATTACAACAACAAAATAGAAACCTTACAGGGTCACAACAGTTTACCATGGATGAACTCTCATATACGGAAAACTATGAATAGGCGATTCAAAGCTCTCAATCTTGCAAAGGGAACTGGTACTAAAGAATCATGGGTTGAATATGAAAAAAAACTTACTATAGGAGTTTAGTTACTTATCTCCTGAGGACTGCTGAAGCAAATTACTGGTCAGGAAAGAAAAGTTCCCCAACATCAAATCAAGCAAGGACTTCTGGAGGCTGGTCGGAAAATTAACCAATAAAAAGGTATAATCTCTGATTGGCCCAATCAGGGATGATGAAAACAATATTATCTTTGATGATGTGGTCAAAGCTGAGGCTATGAATGATTACTTTACAACAATAGGACCAACCCTTGAATCCAAAATTAACTCTGCGGAGGTTTTCATTGATATGCCTCACGTGCATGTACGTGTATAAAGTCTCGCCCACAATTTCACAAGTTCCATTTGGTGAAGACAAGCTATTAAAACGCCTTAGCACAATTAATCCAAGTAAGACTTCAGGTCCTGATTCTATATCCCCTCGAGATTTTCACCTTCTAGGTAAAACAATGATGAACTGATTGTACACTGTGTTTAAGCGCAGTCTAAAGGAATCCACTGTACCTACACAATGGAAGATATCAAGAATGCATACCATCAATAAGAAGGGTGATGCATCAGACAGGGGAAATTATCGCCCTTTGCAGATGTTAAGTGTTCCCAGTAAACTCCTAGAAGTAATAGTATGTGAAGAGCTGGACAAATTTATCTCAGATACAGGACTTCTAAGTAATAACTAATGGGGCTTCCGAGCTGGCAGGTCAGCTGAGGGTCTTTTGATAGGCAGGTACAAAAGTCGGACCGGATCAACTCGGATCGACTCGGAACAACTCGGATCGAATAAAAAAATACAAATAAAATAAAATTGGACGCGGATCAACTCGGAGCAATCGAAAAAATTAAATTAAATCAGCAGAACTGAAAGTTTAAGCCATTTGGAGGGTAAAAAAGGCCAGATCATCTTTTTTTTTCTCCGTGGCTTTCAGGCGCCATTTTGTTTTACTAGTACCAGTTCCTCGCGGATCATGTTATAAACTGCGTTACACGACGCGCTCTGCTTCACAGATATGGATGACCTCGATGCCCGGGGTGGGGGGGGGGGGGTACTCCCATACATCACCTATACGGGTATGTGCCGGCCAACGGGGTCGTGATTTTGAAGCTCCTGATTTAGAACGGGGTATCCATTTCAGAGGCGTTTTCCCGAACGGGGTATAAGAAATTGTGGATCACGGCTTTATCTTCTGCTTAAAATTGTTACTGATCCTGAAGAAGCATTTATTTGATGCATAAGTCGAACAAATAAAGAAAAACAGGGCCATTTCAATTTACAAACTTTCTAGAACGGAGTATAAAAAATTGGCCCATTTCTAGAACGGTGTATCAGTTTTAGGGCGAATTCTAGAAAGAGGTATAAAAAATTGGCCCATTTCTAGAACGGGGTATCAATTTTAGGGGAATTTGTTTTTAGAACGAGTTGCCAATTTGGAGTCCCGGGCGGCACATACCCACCCAAAAAATACCCAAGTCCTCCCCCCCCCCCCGGGCCTCGAGGAAGGTAAAATCTCGACCATCTTTCTCAATGAATTTGCTTCATTCTAAGAAAATGATAGTTTCAGTGGCCTAGAATATATATTTGCTTACTTTTTTTTTTAATTTTATTGCAGCTTTTTGTCACAAAGCAAAGAAGTTGAGGTGAGCGTGATCATAAGTTATGCGCATAATTTTTTATTAATAAGTGACTAAATTATTTATGACAAAAACATCAAAAGCCTGGTCAGTTAATCGCATTTAGATAGTTACCGATGAGTGTCTGTTTGTTTGTTCCTGTTTTTTTTTTTTTTTTTTCTGCAAACTCCTAAAACTTAATTTTAATGATACACTAGTGAGCAGCACACATACATTTCCAGTGAACATTTTCAAATTGGAAGGAGGGGAAACCATGCTCGCCCGGGACAAAGGAAATTTCCATGCCACGGGCGAGAATCGAACTCGCGACCCTCCGGTTCAGTGGTTGTAACGTCCGATAAACATGTAGTATTCGGAGGGTCGTGAGTTCAATTCTCGCCCAGGGTACGAAAATTTTCGTTGTCCCGGGCGAGCATGATTTCTCCTCCTTCCAAGTTGAAAATGTTCACTGGAAGTTTATGTGTACTGCTCACTAGTGTATCATTAAAACGAATAAAAATTAAATTAAATTAATTTACGCAACCACGAGTTCCTGAGAAAAAAACAAAATGGCGGGTGAAAGTTAAGTGATACCGACTGATTTTATTTTTCTTTTTATAATCAGAGTTGTTTTTTATGATCGGAGTTGATCCGAGTCCAATTTTATTTTATTTTTATTTTTTTATTCGATTCGAGTTGGTCCTAGTCGATCCGAGTTGATCCGGTCCGACTTTTGTACCTGCCTTCTTTTGATAATTCTAACTGAAAGCTGGAAGCAAGCATTGGATAACAGACAGGTAGTTGGAGTTCTGTATATAGACTTTCAGAGGGCTTTTGATACGGTGTCTCATACTATTCTGAGATGCAAAGTAGAAGCCATCGGTATAACTGGAGATCTTCGGGTGAATTGGATGATCAGTTATTTAAAAAACAGGAACCAGTTTGCCATTGTAAACGGTTGTACCTCACAGACAAGGAATGTCTGTTGCGGAGTGCCACAAGGTTCCTTCCTTGGGCAAAGATTGTTCAGTCTCCTATTATGTCAATAATCTCCCTGATGCAGTTACTGAAGGTGCGCTGGCCATATATGCAGACGATACAACCTTGTCTGTGGTCGGAGACAACGTGGAAGTGGTTATTGACAAGTTAAACAAAGCCCTAGCAAGTATCAACCTGTGGTGCAGAAACAACAAGCTGGCCATACATACAGGGAAGTCAGAAGCCATGATTTTTACTCATAAACCCTTCTGTGGACCACCAAAGCCTGTTACGTTAGGAAACAAGGTCTTAGATTTTGTGACGCAAACTAAGTGTTTAGAAATTATTATTGACAATCAGTTGTCTTGGCTTAGCCATATTGAGTTAATTTGTAGGTCCTTTGGCCAGAAAGTAAATCAGCTAAAAAGGCACAAGTATTTAACAAAGGGTACCTTACAGTCGATTCATTTTACAAGTATTATTTCCGCTGTCACTTATTGCAATTTAGTTTGGGGTACCTGCTCACCTACATTATTGCATGAAGTGGAGCATATTCACGCCAGGGCAGCCAAGATTATCTACAGGCTATCTCATGTTAGCAACCAAGAAGCTATAGCAATAGCTGGATGGTAATCGATTAATTCCATGTACAAGAGAAAGTTACCGACTTTTTTGTATGAAGGTTACAAATCTGAGCTACCAGATAACATAATTAGGCTTTTTAGTAGTAGCAATTGCTGTTATGATCTACGCAATAGCATTAAGTTTGAGGTTTTCCGCGTTAACCTAGAGGTGGGCAGGAATTCATGAAGATATAGGGGAGCTTTGTTCTGGAACTCCATTCCAGACAATTTAAAAAGAGCGCCAAGTCTAAACATTTTAAAAAAGCTTCTTAAGAAAAACAGACACTTGTTCGACAATACAAATTTCAACAAGATGAAATGGTATTTTAATTGTTCTTAACTTTAAGTCTCTTATCTTACTACTGTGTACTTATTCTTTTTATATACCTATTTTCTGTACATTTTTTAAAATTTTATTTGTATATCGTCAATAGATTATCAGCAGGTCCCCATCAGCTTTAGCTGCCTTTTAAGTTAACCTGCTTTACCAAATAAACTATGAATAAATGAATAAATAAGACCACATCGCATTCTTCCATGCGAGCTAATTACAGAAAGTTTTTTTGCATTTTAGTTTTTCAAGGGGCTCCCAGCTTTTGATTTGAGCCGATTGCGTTTGGACAGTTCCATTCCAGGGACAATGACGTGGAAGGAGTGTGATACATAATAGAAAACAACATTAGAATTTGGAAAAACTCATTCCTGTATCAATTAACAATCAAATAACAAAACTTTCTTTCAAACAAAACCGTAAGTTAAACTATACATCCCGTAAAACAGTACCCCCCCCCCCCCCCCCGTCCCCCCCCTTTTTTTTTTTGTTTCTCCCCCCCTATTACCAAAAAATATAGTAAATAAGAAGGAGAAAAAAAGAGAAGACAAAAAAAAAAAAAAAAAAAGAGAAAAGAAAAAACAAAAAAAAAAAAAAAAAAAGAAAAAAGATAAAAAGAGAGAAAAAACAAAGAA